ATTCAACTGTAATTCATTAGTTTCCATCTGAAATTCAGAATAATGGGATCAGATACAGTATTTTTTTATTGTTTATTGTCAGTGTACTTGTTAGGTTAGACTTACAAAGATCTGCTCTGCTCTTCCAGCCATACAACTGTTTAAGTTAGGTTTGAATTTGCAGTCATAATATATCTGATAATCTCCCTCTCCAACTTCAAAGCAGGCATTCAAAGAAAGAGTGTTTTTTGTATAGTTTTTCACCTTTCTTTTATAGGTGCTCCTGTCCTCAGGCTGATGTTCTGGTTCCAGTGAGACAGTGCTGCTCCAAGTACCTTCGAAACAAGCTGGTGTTTATTTGGTAAAAAGTGCTGGATTATTTCTTGCTGTTAAAACTGTGTATAGCACATTAAGGAATAACAGTAAATCAAATTTATGTGAATACATGGTTTGTGAGTTTCTTACTCAGATGTGAAGGGAGTGGAAACTCTTTTTTAATTCTTTAGTTTCCCTAATGAATTTATGTGCTTCTAAGAAGTTCAAATCCATCCTCAAAAAGTAGACTTCATTATTCCCATTTACAGAAATAAATCTCTATTTTTTGAAAAAAAAAAATTCTCTAATCACTTCAAGCTAAGTTCTGAAACTGATTTAATTGAGTTAATTCTTTGACATCTGTGGAAAAACTTCCAGAAAAATGTAGTATCATACATGTATCATACAAAACACATAAATGATCCTAAGGTAATTCATGTTATTCAACTTAATAGGTGAAGTCTGGTAAATAGAAAGTGAAGAAACTTGCTTTAGCAATTTTTGTTTGGTAATCTTAATGGCTTTGATTTGTGATTTATATGATGCATCTAATTACATACAGAAGTTGCAGATGAAATTAAAGAAATAAATAGCAATGAAAGAAGTGTTAGCTCAAATGTTATCTTAGGTGAAAAGTCTTGTTTTATCAAAAGTTTGAAATAGCTTGAGTTATTCTTTTCTCAAGATCAAAATAACATTAGGATATTCCCTTAGTTCTCAGCCCGTTTTATACATATGACTGAGCCGTGAAATCTCAGAACAGGTTTCCATATGTGTTCGGTTTCATAATGCATTATGTACTTTATTCCATTTTGCTTCTTAAGCACATCATCCAGTAATTCTATGGGGAAGAGTATGTGAGAAAGAAATACTTTGTTTGGAGAGACAGAGATGTAATTTAGAAATATATTGTTCCCATACGCAGATGGTTATCTTCCTTCTGCCTCCACTTTCAGCCTTTTTTAAAAAAATATATATGGTAGGGCTTAAGTTTGTGAATCACTTTTCTTCCACAGGGTCATCTCAGTGGATATCTTTTTGATTTACCTAACTGATTAGGAAAAATACTCTATTAATGCTAGTCTCAATCAGCTAATGTTTCTTGTCAGGGTTTAGAAAGATGTAAATTTTATTATAGACTGATGGTTTCAGCCCTTCAACCTGGTCTGGGAAGAGAGTCCATCACCAAGAGCAAATAAATAATCCACTGTAAAATGAAAGCAGTGTTGCCCTCAGACTAAGGTGATTTTTTTACTGTTTTTGAATTAGGTAATTAAAATCAAAGTTATTTGAAGTTCTGCTTGTGTACTTACAAATCTTGATCAACATCATAACTTAAGGAAGTTTAATTCAAATTTAAAAACTAATTCTTAAACTTTAAATGTTAAAGTTCCTCTTGCAAGGTATTGATATACTTGGCTATTGGGGGAAGGTATACAAATCTGTTTGCTAATCTGTAAAGCAAATACATCACAGTGACAGCCTGTGTTTCTATGCATTTATTTCAGTTGGAAACCATTGCTTCGAATTGCAAACCCACTGATTTGTCTAATTTACATAAATACCATGAACATCCATTCTGTTCTCAACAGTCAAGTCATAAGAAAGAACTGTAACATAATCTGTTATGAGCCGAGATTTTTTTTTCCTTACTATTAAAAGGTTTTCTTCAAGTACGGTTAGAGTCTAGTTTATAAAATCTGATAACATCTTCATTTTTCGGGAGGATATGTCTTAATTCAGTCAAAATTAATCTGTTTCATGAGCTGGAATCTGATAGGCCAAACTCAGAATGAAATCAACTGACTCTTGAAAGATTATCAGAAGAAACACAATAGAGCCTTAACCAAAATACAAACAGAATTAGCTGCATAGAAATTCCTCTGAAGAATTACAATAAGAAATTCTTCAGAAAGAGGTCATTAGGAGTGACAGATGATTTTTGGCCAAAATACATCTTCCTGCTTTACTCTAGAGCTAGCATTTTTCAGTCATTTTTGCAAACACTGATAATATTCTTATATGAGATACATTTTTGTTATAAATTGTTTGTTATTTTGAAAAGAAATGCTTCTCCCCCCAAGAAAAAACAACCAACAAACAAAAAACATAAAACAAAATCCAGAAAAAAAAAAAAAGCATGTATGAGGAACAGCATGAATAGCTGTTACTTTTTTGTATTTTTTAATGAAAAAAGAAAGAAACCACTTCTAAATTCTTGTGTGTCCATTCCAACTTAGAATATTCTATGATAATAGGATTTTAAATTCAATGTTGTGTACTAGTAAAAACATCCTATAATAAAATTAATTATATGCTCTGTTAAATTCCTTCCTCTTTGCCTACAAGAACAAAACAAACAAAACTAAAAAAAGCAACCAGACAAAAAAAAGTACAGATTTTTCATGCTAGGTTTCTTGCTCTACTTCTTTTCTTTAGAAGAATATTTTTATTTGTGTGAAAACTAGAGAATATATGCCCATTTAAACTTCTTACTTCTTTCATTCTTCTTGAAAAAGAATGGCTCAGCTTTCAGCAGAATGCATGAGCAGATTGTTAATGCTTTTCTTTTATAACAGCAGTGTATTCTGAGCAATTTTCTTCCTTCTTGCTGTGGCAAGCAAGAAAAATCCAGTAAATTTTAATTTTATTTTCTTTCAGTTTGGTGGAAAAATCTCAAAATCAATTACATGTATGGTCCTAATTAGCACAAAGTCTAGGGCAGAAGTAAAAATATGCGATAGCTAGATGAAATCACAAAGGAAATACAGATACACTCAACTTGGTACTTTTCATTTGAATTTGTTGAATTGAAAGTCCCCATATACTTTTTCTAAGACAGGTATATGCTATGCAGATAGTATTAAATAAGAGAGTGTTGTCGCATCAAGAAATTTTTCTTGTTTAAATCATGCAAACAAAAAAACAAACAAACAAAAGAAAAAGGGAAAATGCCATTGCTTTAGTAAGTCCAGTTCAGGGTCAGGCTGAACTTGTGTTCCAGACATTAATATTGATCTTTTGTTCTTATAACCAGTCTGCTACTCAATAAATAGGAATAATGACTCTGGCAGAGTCCTATTTCTCTTCACAACAGACTTCATGCCAGAATGCAGGTTTGCATAAGTGAAGTTATGCACTATGGATAATTATTAATATTACCTCTGTTCCCCTTAACTCTAATGTAGTACCCATACTGAGAATTTATTTTAAAAGGAGAGGCTATATATCAGCTACTGTGGGATCAAATACACTAACGTTACAATTTAAGGATTAAGTTGATTATTTACCTTCACAGTAAGTCTACTTTTTTGAAGAGAGCCACTATGTTCACAGTGGCATTGCTACTCCAGCTATTAATTAACCAGAAAGCATCCTAGCTGACACTATTCTTTAACAGGGTAAATAATATAAAGTCCACCATTAGGGATTATGCTATTTGTACAGGTTTTTCTACCAAGTAGTTAGAAGTGCTGTGTTTTGCAGTCTTCACTGATGAGATATTTACCTAAGCATTAGTTAACTAAGAATGAACTTTCACCTCTGTTTCCAAAATTAAACCTGCATAGTGTGAAAGACTCATGTATCATGAGTAAATATAAGAGATGATTAATTTGCTTTCCATAAGTCTTGATGCTTGGATATGACTGAGTATATTTTATCTTTCAAATTTGGGTCTGGGGAGCTTTCATGCTTCATTTGTTTCTAGAAGGAGGGAAAAATATGTCCTCATGAATCTTACTTGAGGTGTCACTGAGGAAGAAAAAGCAGTTTGTGCAATGTGCCAATTGCTCTTTCTCTCAGAACATCCATAAAACAAAATTATATGTTCAGAGCTTTTTCTGAAGCTGAGATGAAAGGACCATCTCTGCATCACTGTCACCCATTTTGAATTACGGACATCTCTGTCCCTAATCAGTGAGCATCTAAATCAGTCATTTTGGACTACAACTTAAATTAAGGATATTCAAAATAAAACCTGTTGATAGATGTTTTATTAATGTATCAATGATTTACTGACTAATTTCTAGTTAGTCTGGAAATCCTCCCCATGTTTTCATCATTGTGAATATTCTGTGATTCTAGATTCTGTGATCCTAAAGGGAACAATAAGCAAAACTTTTCTAATTTATAGGACTTATTTTGCTAAACCCTTCAGATAATGGCGGGGGGGGGGGGGTGTGGAAACAACAAAAAGCAAGGTCAAGTATTCTAAGTGTTAATCCTCTGCACGCCTGTCATCCGTGAGCGGTGTACAGGATTGGGTGTTGCTGGGTGAAGAGTTAATATGCCCCAATATACTGATCTTCAAGTCTCTGTTCAGCTTCAGAAATGACAAAAAAATTTCATTCAGTGACCAATTACCTAAGAATAGGAAAATACCCAAACTACCCTCTTTGTGGGAGTGTTTAAAGTTCTGTCTTTGCAACACTTTGGTGGAAAAAATGCAGGTTTTCAGAAAAAATATTGCTTTTAGTAAATAATAACTTAGAGACTGTCTTTTATACAACTTTCTGCTCAAAAGAAAGCTGCTGGCAGATTGTTAAAAATTAAGCAGAATGTGTTCCAGTCTTATCAATCTTACTAGTTACCCAGATATTCTTTACCTGTTAATGCTGTATATTGTCAGAGAAATCACTGCTCCAGTGGGCTAAGAATTCAGATTAAATTAGGTGACATGATGAATACTATTCATACTTTTTAATTCTCTTTAATAGTGTGTGTTTCTTCCAAAGCTGCTATCATGCTGATAATTATGTCATTCATCCTTCACTGTATGTGTTTTGGACTGCAAAGAAACATGAGGATGCTTAAGGAACCTGTGTCCTCTGCAAAAGTCAGCTGTATACAGGTTTTCATACACTTACTTGTATTTGCTTTTAGTGGGAACCTTGAACAGCATTTTTTTTGGAGAATTTGAAGTACCACAGTAGAAGTGTGTCTTGCTTTAAAACACTTGGAGGAAGAACACTCTGGAATGTGTTGCCTCCCTCTCTGGGTTCAACCAATTCCATTCCACTAATAAGGAATGAATACAAGTAAATTTAAGTTAAAAAATAACAGTTAACAACAGTCAAGAAATAACAAGTAATCACCAGGTACAAAACTGCTAATTTTCACAGAGTCCTTAGAATAAAGGGAGATCAAAAACACCAGGGGTGCCCCACCAACATGGTGCTCTGCAGCCAAGCATGTGCTTTAAAGGGTGGAGGAAAGATGGTGTCTATCTTTCCCCACTGGCCCACTCAGCTCGTTTCTCAATACTGGCTAGCATTCTCTAGATTCAAGGGTTAGAGTTCACACAGGGACTTTGCCTTTCTCGTGGCAGGAGACAGCAGAGCAGTCAAGGCAAGGACAAGGAGGGTGCACTGGGGTGACTTGCGGTCTTCTCTTCTCAGCTGGGTGCCTTGGCAAGCTGGACCGGCTTGATGGAGTGGGGCCACTTGCTCTCTGCTCAAGAGACAGGCAGGAACCTGTGGACTTCGCCCCCAAGCAGTTCAAAACCACTGAGTGCAATCTCTCAGAGACAAAGGAGAAAACAAAAAGGAAAACGAAAGGGAATCCAAAAAGGAATAAGCCTCTGCCTAAGGCAAAATACCAAGAAGACAGCAAGGCAGAAACTATGAAGCAAAAGGGCAGGAGCTGCCTGCTGGAGACTTTAAAAGTACCTGAGGAGACTTCTGAGCATCTGCTGTGCCATCCCACCCCAACTTCCCAACTGCAAGGCTTTAAAGAGACTGTAACTATTTGGGGCATAATAAGATATGGAACACAGTAACATTTTGGGTTAACCAAGACTGAGTTTCAAAGTTGTGTAATTAGAGTGTCAGAGAAACAGAGATCAGCATTAGGCATGATTCATTACTGTGCTATTGATGGGAAATGGCTTTTCTTTAGGAAATCAGTTCTAATCAGTGTCATCAGAAGTCATGTAGATTAACACAGGCACTATACACTGTCAGTTCAACAATCAACAGCCATCAATAGTGCCTAGCTTCTACTTTTAGTGCTGTCAGTAGTCATCCTCACCTGTACGACTTTGACGCCAGGGACAAGTGAAGTTTTTAACCTGCTGTGCTCTCCTAACAAGAGAAGTTGCCAAGGCTGGCATGTGTTAGATGAACATTCATATTCACTCAAGAATTAGGCAGGCTTTTGTGATAGACTTCAGTTGATGTATTTATTTCCTTAGGGAAATAAATGTGTATGCTCCCTGAAAACTTGAGTGGGTCAGCTGTACAGCATTGTTTAGGCTGTAGATTCACTGATTCTCTCCAGCTTGTCCTAGAATGCCAAGAGTCCTATTGAGTCTATTCATATTAGAGTATCATAGATAAAAGTCTTGTAATTGAAGGAAAACTAGGCAAGAATACAACAGGTCTTGTGATGGCAGTCCGTAGATGTATTCCTTTCATCAGATGAACAGTAGCATTTTCACCAATTTAAGGTTTCAGACAGAACTTACCAAGGCAGGGAAGGCAAGACTGACACATATTACTGTGACACACGTGTACAAAACAATGTCCCTGTCAGAAGAAAATGAGCACACTATTGCACAAAGAAGGCAAAATGGTGAAAAATCATGAGAAATGACATTGTGCTCCAAGAGCATTCAGAATAAGAGCTTAGAAAGCAATCTGGGAATATTTGTGGAGCCTGTTCATCAATTCAATGTTGTCTGAGATTTTTGACTCACTCCTCTCTTTTAGCATTTACCTGCTTTTTCTTGACTCACTAGAGCACATCCTACTGTCTCCCACCCACATTTCAGCTATGGCAACTGAATAGATAGTTGCCACAGCATGGAGCCCTGTCTGCCTGCAGCAGTGGAAAGGAACACTTAGGATGTCATTTGAGGCGCCAGCATTCTGTCCCACATTGTAAGATTTCTTTGTTCACAAAAACATCACGGAGAATAACAAGCTTCAGTCCTCCCAGACACCACATCTTCAAATGACTGTAGGAAATGGCTTCTAAAATGGTTCACATAAGAGTTGCTTTTTATTACTAACGTTACATGACATAAAGTTGTGATAGGAAGTATCAATGACCTGCTCTACAGGCAGGAAGAACATTTCTCCTCCAATGATAATAATGCTAATAGTTATTACTGCTGGAGGATAACCAGCTGCTGTATAGGCAGTATTTCTGGCATCCAAGGACAGAAAGGATGTCAAATAAGAAGGCTGGCCTGCCAGTATTTTATTAAGGAACATTTTGTTGGGGTTTTTTTGTTTTGCTTTTTTTTTTTTTTTTTTTTTTTTTTTGTCCACAAGAATCCTTGTTAATAAGACTTTAACACACTGCTACAAATTCATTTTCAGCTGACCCTGCAAAGCTATATTATATTAGCAATCCTTTATAATATGAGCTTCTGCACATTCCCCATGGGCTTTCACCTAACAAGGAAGGCAGAGGTCTCACAGAGTTTGGAATACTGCTTATAGCTTTTGTGTGACCTCTGGGTCACTCATTGAAATTTGAAGAGATAGCCAAACTTCACAAGAGGTTGTTAGCTTGCCAGCTTACTGCACTTCCAGTAGTAAGAAGAAAAAAAAGATCATTACTGTTCGCAAGCAACAGCATAATTTTTATAATGTAATTTGTCAGTATGAGGTCCTTTCCAGTTTTGGAATCTGGAATAAATTCTAATTAATTATGCCTCCCAAAATCAGGCTAAGAAGAAACTACATCACACCAGTGATATTTTATTTCCTTTGGAGTGTTACTTTCCTCTATCAATCCCATGAAAATACAACTGTGTCAAGGGAAGTCTAATCCATCAAAACATTTTTACTTAGTAACTTGTTAGTTATGGTTTTGTTCATACTACATTAGGCTTGAAATATCCACTGCACAGCCACTGTATCTGGCACAGTGCTTTGATGCAAAATGAAAGGAAGGACAGTACAGAAAGATCTTCCTCATCAAAAAATAGTGCATTCATTAATTATAGTAGCAATTACATTAGCCAGTGACAGCCTGTGAAGTACACTGTTTTGTATGATTTTCAAATTGTTGGTGTTTTTTGGTCATAGTCTTTAATGGTAGCTATTTTAAAATCCAGCATTTCTGATATCCAATACTTTTGGATGCTTACAATAACTCTCTTCAGAGTGGATAAGCAAGGATGGGTATCATGTGAAAAAATGTCAGCATTTAGGGGTAAAGTGCACTTGTTTTGCATTCTTTGTCTCTGAGTCAAATAAGCTGTTTATGCTTAATGTCTGTGCAGATGTGCAGTAGAAATATTTTCTTGAATATTTTATTTAAATTTTTGAATGTCTTGGAGGGAATGTAGGCAAAATAATGTACAGCTTATTCTAACTATTCACAAAAAATACTGGATGTTGATGGAAAAGAAGGTAAAACATCATAAAACATAGAAAGAACTATAATTGCTTATAATAAATAAATATATTTATTTGTAATTTGAGAAAAGAAAGCAGAAGGTACACTTTTTATGATAAACATTTTGCCATCATGTATTCCTACTTTTGCTGTTTATTCTTGGTTTACAATATTTCTGAATTAGAGTATGTACTATATACATGGGTCCTACCTAAAATTTTAAAAGATACCACCTAAAAACATACACACAGTCATTACTGATTATATTTTAATTTAATCTAATTTTATTTTTATTTAAATGTAGACTGAAAATATATTGTTTTCCTATATCACCAGGACTCAGTGATGAGGGGAAATAGGTGAATATGAAACTGCACTTGTTGACTAATTTGCATTTTAAAATAATCAGCATACCTCTGCAATGATAAAGTTTTCCATATGCTAGACTGTGTATCTACCTAATGATTTTTATATTATTGGATGTGCCAGCAGAGGAGATGAGACTTGAAAAAGATCTTTAGGCAGTAAGAAAGTAAAGCCTTACTAAAGGATTATCAAAACTGGTCAAACTCAAAGAAAAAGAAATAAGGCTTTGGGTACACTAAATTTATCACAGAGAAAAGGAATAGATCTGATTTACTAAAGAACCCACCAACCAACCAAAAAAACTCCAAACAAAGGTAACAAAAAAAAAAAGAAAACTCACAACACTCCAATACCCCCCAAAATAAAGTCTTCATTTATAAACAAATCCAGAGTAGCCTCCAGAGTTAAAAAAACAGAGTAACCAGGTGTCCTTTCAGGCTAAGTACTGGTTTGAGGGAAGGGGGATGGAGGGGAGGAATTAGTGTTGTATGAAATAGCACAGGAGACCTCTGGAAGAATTAATGAAATTATACACAGTCTATAACTTGTACAGGAGGATGCTATTTTGCTTTTGGTTTTGGTGCGGGCTTTTCTGTGGTTTTCTTTTTTATTTTTCTCATTTACTTGAAGACATAATCTGGGATGCAGCACAATGCAAAATCTTCAACTAAATCTAAATAGCTACCTTAAATGATTACTATGTTGCAAGAAGTCAGACCTTTTATGAAACCAGCACTATCTGTGCATGCACAGATGAATTAGGGCATCTGCTAGGACAATTATCTCTCTCAACTTTTCACATATGATGCTATGCAGATTTTCATTTTCCCTCTCCTTGTGAAATCACAGGCAAAGGCCATCAATATCTTGTAGGGCATTCAGAACTTTCTGAGTACCTCTGCCCTCCCTAGCTCCTCTACAATGTCGAGATTATTTACCACTCTTTAGTCTCTCTAAAAGCCTGCTGAAAAACAGAGTAGAAAATTCTGCTTTACTGTTCATCCAGTTTTAGTGTTGTACTGGGTTTCAAGGATAAATAAATTATATACTTACTCCCTGTCACATGGAAGCTGAGATGCCATTGAACTAATGGGCATCTTCAGAAAATGACTGTCAATTAAATATGTTATTTTAGACAGTAATAGAAGTAATTATATTTTGTGCCTGGAGAGAACGAATTAGCACTGAGAGGCCATGATGGGTCTATACAATCAGTCAATAAAGGAAATATTTTACAGTTACTTGACCTGATTACAAAACATGGTGTTAGAGCAAATGTTGTGAGGCAGCATGTAGCACAA